AGATGAAGAAAGAGAGGCTGAAAAGGAGAGAGGGGGGAGGGTAGAGAGGGTGAGATATATATTGGAAACGGGTGTGTCGGGGGGGTCAGGAGAGGGGGGGACTATAGCTGTACATAAGGAAGCAGTAGAGGTGGTGAAAGGATTCGATGACTGCAGCAAGAAGGGAGAAATAACTACTGGGTCTTCCACAATGTGACCCTGGGGAGTGATAAAGAGATGGTCTGCCTCGTGTATTAAAGTAGACAGGTGGCGACGTTAATGAAGCTGGTTATCAAATTAAAGTGAAGATAATCCCACATTGCTCATCATAAGTGGGCAGAAAGATTAAAAAATAAATTCAATTATAATGGCGAATAATAAAAAATTCAGTTATAATGGCGAATAAATAAAAAATGTCACTTATAATGGCGAATAAAAAAGTCACTTATAATGGCGAATAAAAAAATGTCAGCTATAATGGCAATAAAAAAAACAGTTATAATGGCGAATGAATACAAAATAGTCACTTATAATGGCGAATAAAAAAATCACTTATAATGGCGAATAAATATTTTACACGATAATAATTTGTTTTTGTTGCTTCCTGTGAAAATTGTGGACAGAAACGAAGTAAAATTGGCTCGGTTATGATCTAAAGAATTAAAAACATAAGGAAGAGGAAGATTGAGAAAGTGAAATAACAAATCTTTGGGGGAAAAAATAAAAATCTAAAATAGGAATCAGAATTTTTTTTCCAGTTTGTTACCAAGACGACGTATCACCACCGAGCAATCTGTGAGGTGAGAGGGAGGGGTGAGTGAGGTGGTGTGGTGAGAGGGAAGGGTGAGTGAGGTGGTGAAGTGAGAGGGAAGGGTGAGTGAGGTGGTGAAGTGAGAGGGAAGGGTGGGTGAGGTGAGAGGGAAGGGTGAGTGAGGTGGTGAAGTGAGAGGGAAGGGTGAGTGAGGTGGTGAGAGGGAAGGTGAGGGAGGTGGTGAGAGGAAGGTGAGTGAGGTGGTGGTGAGAGGGAAGCGGTGAGTGAGGTGGTGAAGTGAGAGGGAAGGGTAAGTGAGGTGGTGAGAGGAAGGGTGAGTGAGGTGGTGAAGTGAGAGGGAAGGGTGAGGAGGTGGTGAGAGGGAAGGGTGAGTGAGGTGAGAGGGAAGGGGTGAGGAGGTGGGTGAGAGGGAAGGGTGAGTGAGGTGGTGTGTGGAGAGGGAAGGTGAGAGGTGGTGAGGAGGGGTGAGTGAGGGTGAGGGTGAGAGGAAGGGTGAGTGAGGGTGAAGTGAGAGGGGAAGGGTGAGGAGAGGAAGGAGAGGGAAGGTGAGTGAGGTGGGTGAAGTGAGAGGGAAGGGTGAGTGAGGTGAGAGGAAGGTGAGTGAGGTGTGAGGAGGGAAGGGGTGAGTGAGGTGGTGAGGTGGAGAGGAAGGGTGAGTGAGGTGGTGAGGTGAGAGGAAGGTGAGGAGGTGAGAGGGAAGGGTGAGTGAGGTGGTGAGGAGAGGAAGGGGTGTGAGTGAGGTGGGTGAAGGAGAGGGAAGGGTGAGGAGGTGAAGTGAGAGGGAAGGGTGAGTGAGGTGGAGAGGTGAGAGGGAAGGTGAGTGAGGTGAAGTGAGAGGGAAGGGGTGAGTGAGGTGAAGGAGAGGAAGGGTGAGTGAGGTGGTGAAGTGAGAGGGAAGGGGTGAGGAGGTGGTGAAGTGAGGGAAGGTTGAGTGAGGTAGGAAGTGAGAGGGAAGGGTGGAGTGAGGTGGTGAAGTGGAGAGGGAAGGGTGAGTGAGGTGGTGAAAGTGAGAGGGAAGGGTGGGTGAGGTGAGAGGGAAGGGTGAGTGAGGTGGTGAAGTGAGAGGGAAGGGTGAGTGAGGTGGTGAAGTGAGAGGGAAGGGTGAGTGAGGTGGTGAAGTGAGAGGGAAGGGTGAGTGAGGTGGTGAAGTGAGAGGGAAGTGGGTATCTGATCATTGGAAAACATATTTGTTATTGTATTCGTGATGACGTCAGCGAGAGCCCATATCAGTTGTGGACAAGTCTGAAAGTCATGGCAGGTGAAGTTATTACTCAGTAAATGGCGGCGTGGCGGGGGGAGCAGCAGTGTGTGCCGCACGTCCTCGCTAATGTCAACAAGAGAATATTACGGGGGAAGCCATTAGCCGCCTCCCGTCCCTCTTTTGTCTTGGTTCACTGTCAACACACTATATATATATAACGTTTAGCTTTTCTCTTAACTATGAGAAAATAAATTCCATCTTTCTAGGGCATCTGTAGTGTGTGAATACCAGTAACTTTTAATGGAGCCTCGGCCAGTGGATTTTCGTTTGAGCGGACATGAAAAACATATTCATTTAATAAATACTGTGTTGTAGTAATTATAATCTCATTCAGGAAAAAATCAAACACGCCATCTTTAATGTTTACATCCTCTAAGAGTCTAAACCAATCAGCGATCGTCTCATAAAATGGAGGAAACTGCAGCGGGCCTATTTGTCCCTACAGTATTCCGGCAAGATTTGTGTCTGGTGTATCGCGGCAGGTCTCTTCACATTTTGGCCAAGTATAATGTACTGGATATTTTGTTGGAAGTGTATTGTGTAGATGATAGTGTGGTCATAAGGGCAGTGTAGGTTATGAGCTGTCCTTCAAAAACAAACCCGGGCAATGCGAGGATCCCCAGGTAGTCATCACTAGACAAGGGTTTTTGAGAAAATATATGAATTTTGTTGATTTTTTTAGTATCAAGAAATAAAAAAGTAGCTTTTCTACTCATTCATTTCCACTAGTTTCAGACGCGCTCTTTCATTTGCATTCTGAGCCACAAATTTCTATTCTATGAATTATTATTTTGAGAAAAACGCAATTTTAGATGGAAATGTATATTTTTTTCCGCATATTTTTATTTTATTTTAAGGAAACTCTATACAGTAAAGGCATTTACTCCCTGGGTACCAGCCCCTGGGGACCATCCATAGCCTGAATCACTGTATAAAAAAGCGTTTTAGGGATAACACCAGTGTTTGTGGCCCTAAATTCCAAAATGTAGTTTCCTCGTTACCTGCCTTGTGTACGACCTGGCTGCTCTCTAGTGAAGGTGAATAATATTGATAAAGCCAATATTTACTACCTACCCGTGGCCATCATCTCCGAATTTGCATAATATGTTGTGGTGACGTGTGGTGTCATAACAAGTCACACCCCTGTCTCAGAGGTTAAGGCCACACCACGAGCCACATATTGTATGGTAACAAGTCCTAGTACCATCACTACATAGTGTATGGTGACAAGACCTAGTACCATCACTACATAGTGTATGGTGACAAGACCTAGTACCATCACTACATAGTGTATGGTGACAAGACCTAGTACCATCACTACATAGTGTATGGTGACAAGACCTAGTACCATCACTACATAGTGTATGGTGACAAGACCTAGTACCATCACTACATAGTGTATGGTGACAAGACCTAGTACCATCACTACATAGTGTATGGTGACAAGACCTAGTATCATCACCACATAGTGTATGGTGACAAGTCCTAGTACCATCACTACATAGTGTATGGTGACAAGACCTAGTATCATCACCACATAGTGTATGGTGACAAGACCTCGTACCATCACCACATAGTGTATGGTGACAAGACCTTGTACCATTACTACATAGTGTATGGTGACAAGACCTAGTATCATCACCACATAGTGTATGGTGACAAGACCTAGTACCATCACCACATAGTGTATGGTGACAAGACCTCGTACCATCACCACATAGTGTATGGTGACAAGAACTCGTACCATTACCACATAGTGTATGGTGACAAGACCTCGTACCATCACCACATAGTGTATGGTGACAAGACCTCGTACCATCACCACATAGTGTATGGTGACAAGACCTCGTACCATCACTACATAGTGTATGGTGACAAGACCTAGTATCATCACCACATAGTGTATGGTAACAAGACCTTGTACCATCACCACATAGTGTATGGTGACAAGACCTTGTACCATTACTACATAGTGTATGGTGACAAGACCTAGTATCATCACCACATAGTGTATGGTGACAAGACCTCGTACCATCACCACATAGTGTATGGTAACAAGACCTTGTACCATCACCACATAGTGTATGGTGACAAGACCTAGTATCATCACCACATAGTGTATGGTGACAAGACCTCGTACCATCACCACATAGTGTATGGTAACAAGACCTTGTACCATCACCACATAGTGTATGGTGACAAGACCTCGTACCATCAACACATAGTGTATGGTGACAAGACCTCGTACCATCAACACATAGTGTATGGTGACAAGACCTCGTACCATCACCACATAGTGTATGGTGACAAGACCTCTTCGCACCATTACCACAGTGTATGGTGACAAGACCTCGTACCATTACCACAGTGTATGGTGACAAGACCTCGTACCATCACCACATAGTGTATGGTGACAAGACCTCGTACCATCACCACATAGTGTATGGTGACAAGACCTCGTACCATTACCACAGTGTATGGTGACAAGACCTCGTACCATCACCACATAGTGTATGGTGACAAGACCTCGTACCATTACCACATAGTGTATGGTGACAAGACCTCGTACCATCACCACATAGTATAGGATGTTGTTGACACACTGAGGACATCTCGTAGTCTTTCATAAATTAAACTCCGGTATCAAGTTCTCCTGCAAGACTGAACCGAATGTCGTGATATTTACGTTATTTCGTGTGTGTGTGTGTGTGTGTGTGTGTGTGTGTGTACTGTAACCTGATAGACGGATCATTAAACACATTATCCACTAAGGGTAATGAGAGGCATCTGGCGCGTCTTACAGTATTAACATTATCCATCATTAACTTTGAGGAAATTCAGTGGTTTTTAGCTTAAGGAGTATTATAAAAGATGTGAACTAAACTAAACATTAACTACCTTAGGACCATAAACTGTAAGGTGTTATGGGGGGGGACCTTGACCACTGAGAGAAGATCATCACTAATATTACTGTTGTGTTGTTTGCAGGACGCGGGTCAACTGCTGAAGGTAGTGCCGGGACACACACCGTCACCATTATGCTGGAACCGAGCAGTTCAGAGGAGGAATCTGACGATGGGGTGCAGGAGAAACCCGTCGGACGTGGCCACTCTTCCCGTTCCGATGGTGCTAGCAGTCACGATACACACGTTCCCGATGGCGCGACAAGCACTGCTCCTTCCCTGCAGGTTCCTGGAGTACCCACCTCCCTCCCCAGGTGAGTCTTACCCTCTCCCTCTCCACCCCCTACACTAACTTGGCCCATATGGTATAATGTTCTTTTACCTCACCGTAACACCTATCCTTAACTTGTAACCTGTCTCTACACACCTGTCTCTACACACCTGGTCTACACACCTGGTCCACACAGACTTATTAAGGGGTGTTTGATACCTCGCACATTTCTTCTGCCAAGTAACACTAATGATGATAAATACTGGATGAGCTTGTTATCCAGGATGTACTGTACTCATTCAACACTCATGAAGTAAAGTTATGATGCTGTAACGTAAAGGTTGTGACCAATACACGTACATGACAAGTGTTGTTAAGTGTATCCGGGTGTGGTGGGACACTGGAGTACTCCACGTATCATGAGACATACGAGTCTACTACGAGTATAATCCGGAGCGTGAAGAGAAGTCATAAGGTAGCCATATACAACTTGTGGTGTACACGAGCCATATACAACTTGTGGTGTACACGAGCCGTATACAACTTGTGGTGTACACGAGCCATATACAGTACAACTTGTGGTGTACACGAGCCATATACAGTACAACTTGTGGTGTACACGAGCCATAATCAACTTGTGTATACACGCCATTTGCCTCTTGCGGTGTGTACTAACCATGTAGACCTGTCATGGTGTATATTAGCCATGTAGGCCTAGTGTTGTACACCAGCCATTTGTGTCAGTGTACACTGAACATCTGTTGTGTGGGAGTGTACACCGGCCACTTGTCGTGTGGGAGTGTACACCGGCACGTCTCCTGTAAGGTTATTGTACGTAATGTACTACATCATAGCAAAAGGTGATGGGCATTCTTTAGCTGGTAAGCTGAGCTGGAAACAAAAATACAGTTTTATAAAGAAGACGAGTACTGTTATATATGAGACGGAGAAGAAGTGGTGATGACACACTGAGTGAGGTGACCGGCTTATTGACTCCCAAAATAATCAATGTTGTAGAGTACCTGAACACTTCTCCACGGTGTTAATATACCGACTAGTGCCGGGTGGCAGTGATGGATGGCAACGTGACGAGTGGCCGGATGACGGGTGGCACAGTGCCGGATGGCAGAGTAACGTGTGGCAGTGTCGGATGGCAGATTAACGGGTGACACAGTACCGGATGGCAGAGTAACTTGTGGCAGTGTCGGATGGCAGATTAACGGGTGGCACAGTGCCGGATGCAGAATTACGTGTGGCAGAGTGTCGGATGGCAGGTTAACGGGTGGCACGGTGCCGGATGGCAGAGTTGCCGGATGGCAGAGTAACGTGTGGCAGAGTGCCGGATGACAGAGTAACGTGTGGCAGAGTGCCGGATGACAGAGTAACGTGTGCAAGGAGACAGTGTTACACATCGATGACGATGGTTACAAAGTGGTAAATTGTGAACTTGTGTTGTGCTGTGCTGTTAAACTGTTCAGCAGACCGATGGCGTTGTAGATGCTCACCAACACTACAGTACAGTGTTGTTATAATGCTGAGTGTACCGTAACAAGAACATGTATCTTATGTATAGCTGTAATAAAATTCATTAATACAATATTTGGACAAAAATAATCATACTATTAACTTACTTACAGTAAACACGGACAAAGGTAAAGTTCAGTATATTGACATATTGCCTCTTGCACAGTTGCAGCCCATACAGCCTCGTCCAAACTTGCAACTTCATTTCATCAATTTCGTGCATGGCTTGGCTGCTGCAGTTCTCCAGACAGACTGCCAGTTTGTCACGCATCATCCGCCCCCAGTTGGTGGGGGAACAGCACGCTGCCATGTTACACAACATCCTCAACACATAATTATTACATCATATGATTTAAGGATTATTAAGAAATAATTTGGTTTAATAGTTACCAAGTCTTGATCTGATTTTCACCTAGAAGTTCGGGCTGTATGTTCAGTATTGCTCAGTATTGTTCAGTATTGTTCAGTATTCTGCATGATCATAACCTATTTTTAGGGTCTTCTCGGCAGACCTAATTGCATATGCATGGAGGTTGTAGGAATCTTGAACTCGACACAATATACAGAGCCTGTTACTAGAGCTGACCTGAACAGCGTCAACAGTGTGTGATAGAGCAGTGCATCTTGTTACCGTTTTCTGTTCGTTTATTATTCTGGCTTGGAGTTACTACACGGCCGATGCCAAATTTACATTGAAGTGAGTAAATGCCTCACTACTGAAACTCAAAGTCCCATAAAAGTTTGTTTGGAGAGGTTGTATAAACGACCTCTTAATGTGAGGCTTTCCATCCTCACTTACTGTATTGTAATGTGGATTTATACAGCCAAAGACCTTGTGTTTTGGCTGGACAAGTACTCGCCAGTACCGTGTTATTGTTGATCAAGCGTGCACGTAACTTGAGGGTATTGTATGAGAACTTGCTCTACATATGCCCATGAATGCAGAAGGCTTGTGTGCATTTGAAGTAGGATTAGTTCAGGTGTTTCTGCATGTAAAATGGCAAGTTTTAAAATATACGGAATGACGACCTATAAACTTCTCAGTAATAACCACCAACACAACACAATACTGTCTGGAGAAGGTAAGTTCATCTCCTCTGTGGTTTTAACATCTTTTCCTGTTAAATTATCACACACAAAAAAAAATCGTTGTATCAGCCTGGGTAATGTCGGACACAGCAGTAATGTACAGTACACATTAAAAAAAAGTATCTTTACGGTGCGTCCGATGAATTTCCTAATGAACTCTGTGACTCCCGTTGTCTCGGTAGGGTTATCAAAATTTTTCTTCCGTTGTCTTATTGCCTAACACTCACCCTCAAACAGCATTAGAATTACAACGCTTTTTGTTCTTCGCTTTTGTTGAATATTTTAGAAATGTTTTGTTTCGTCTCATAAAAAAGGATAACTCATTTTATCACATTTTTTGGAATATTGTTTACCCTACAGCCCTTGGCAGACTCAAGATAACGTGGGCTTTATATGCAACAGTTTAAAACATTAATGAGTGTATATATATTTAAGGCTTAACAAAAGATACGTTGGTGATTAAGAGGCTATTTTATAATAAAGGTGTGTGGGGGTACGGCTTCACTACAGCTGTATTTTGAAATGTATATCACATTCTGATTTATGAAGACGCCTAAACACGACACAAGAACAACTCACTTATTTCGTACCAATTTGTACAAACTGTAAACTAGTCTAGGTAAAATAAGTTTGTAATGCGTTTCACATGATGTCCCCCCCCCCCCCAGTGCCCCAGTACTGTGTGTCACCGCAGAGGATCCCCGTGTCACGTGTCCCCCACTAGCAGAGTTTAAAGTACTTTGGAATGATCGGTGAGGCAGTGGTGGTTCAGCTAAATGACCCCACTGAGCACAACCGCTGTGTTCCCGTTTAAATTTAAGACCCTAAAAAAAAAAATCACGCCCCAGAACTTTTATAATCCTAACAAATAGTAGATACAATGTCAGCCATATTTTAAGTACATAAAATAATGGGCCCTTGGAGATTTTGAGACTCCTCCTAATGTTTGGACCAGGAGAGTTTGGTACAAGCCTCTCCAGATCATCGCACTTATGATGGTGGAAATATTGCATTTTCAACCTTAGAATTTGTCCTAATATCCCGTGCATATGGCATCACAATGTCTCTGAGATTGGTCATATTAAGAAAAAATAAAAAAATCCCGGTTTAGCAAGTGTTGAAAACGAGTGAGGTAATGTTTGGTGAAAGAGCATGGAGGCAAAAGGCTGATAATATATAATAAAGACGATGAAAGTTACATATGGTGAATTTGGAGAGCGGGTCACTTGCTTGACACAGGCTTTCAGTAGTAAACAGAGAAGAAACATGAAGTGAATATATAAATTAGCAATAGATCTGGTAATATTCTCAGTGGCTATAAGGGAGCCGCTCTTGTCAACTGCCTTGTGAGTTGATAGTGACACTAACGAGATCCTTCCCACGGTACAGAAGGTTTCACTGAGGATAGTTATGACCATACACTCCCTCCGGCTGATACAAGCTGCACCTGTTAACCACACCCTTCACCTGGTCCTGATATGCTCCGACCGCGGAACACTATTGACTTGTCACACTCTACAACACTTGTTTCTATTCCTTTCGAGTTTAAATAATTATTTTTGTATATCAGTGATCGTCAGCCTTTGCATTGTGTTGTTGGTGGGAGGATGCTGATAAATCCTAGCCGGGGGGGGAGGGGGGTAGGTTAGGCGACAGGCCGGCACAGAGTACAAATTGCGTCCTCGTCCCATGAGGGCTGAAGACTTATGTGTGTGTGTGTGTGTGTGTGTGTGTGTGAGTGAGTGAGGCGGGCACACACTAACACAGGAGAGGGCACTATAGAGGACCTCGGAGCCATCAGTGAGGTAGCCGGGCTGTGTTAATGTTATTGTAGAGCTTCACGGCGGATCTAGACGCCATTAACGCATTAATCCCACCTGTTGGTCCACGCCTCTGTTGCCGCCCCTGCTGTTGCTGCCCCTACTGTTGCTGCTGCTGTCCCTGCTACTGCTGCTGTCCCTGCTGCTGTCCCTGGTTACTGCTGCTATCCTTGCTGCTGCTGTCCCTGTTACTGCTGCTATCCTGGCTGCTGCTGTTGTCCTTACTGCTGCTGTCCTTATTGCTGCTGTCCTTGCTGCTGTTCTTGTTACTGCTGCCGTCCTTACTGCTGCTGTCCTTACCGCTGCTGTTCCTGTTACTGCTGCTGCTGCTGCTTGTAACTGCTGCTGTCCTTACTGCTGCTGTTCCTGTTACTGCTGCTGTTCCTGTTACTGCTGCTGTTCTTGTTACTGCTGCTGTTCTGTTACTGCTGCTGTTCCTGTTACTGCTGCTGTTCTTGTTACTGCTGCTGTCCTTACTGCTGTCCTTATTGCTGTTGTCCTTGCTGCTGTCCTACTTAGCTGTTCCTGTTCTGCTGTTACTGCTGCTGTTCCTGTTACTGCTGCTGTTCCTGTTACTTGCTGTCCTTACTGCTGCTGTTCCTGTTACTGCTGCTGTTGTTACTGCTGTTGTCCCTTGCTGCTGTTCCTGTCACTGCTGTTGTCCTTGCTGCTGTCCTTATTGCTGCTGTCCTTACTGCTGCTGTTCCTGTTACTGCTGTTGTCCCTGCTGCTGTCCCTTGCTGCTGTTCCTGTTACTGCTGCTGTTCCTGTTACTGCTGTTACTGCTGCTGTCCTTACTGCTGCTGTTGCTATTACTGCTGTTGTCCTTACTGCTGCTGTTCCTGTCACTGCTGTTGTCCTTACTGCTGTCCTTATTGCTGCTGTACTGCTGCTGTTCCTGTTACTGCTGTTGTCCTTACTGCTGCTGTGCTGCTGTTCCTGTTACTGCTGTTGTCCTTACTGCTGCTGTTCCTGTTACTGCTGTTGTCCTTACTGCTGCTGTTGCTATTACTGCTGTTGTCCTTACTGCTGTCCTTATTGCTGCTGCTGCTGTTCCTGTCACTGTTGCTGCTGTTCCTGTCACTGCTGTTGTCCTTACTGCTGCTGTCCTTATTGCTGCTGTCCTTACTGCTGCTGTTCCTGTTACTGCTGTTGTCCTTACTGCTGCTGTCCTTATTGCTGCTGTTCCCTGCTGTTGTCCTTACTGCTGCTGTTCCTGTTACTGCTGTTGTCATGCTGCTGTTGCTATTACTGCTGTTGTCCCTGCTGCTGTCCTTATTGCTGCTGTCCTTACTGCTGCTGTTCCTGTCACTGCTGTTGTCCTTACTGCTGCTGTTCCTGTTACTGCTGTTGTCTTTACTGCTGCTGTCCTTATTGCTGCTGTCCTTACTGCTGCTGTCCTTACTGCTGTTGTCCTTACTGCTGTTGTCCTTACTGCTGTTGTTCCTGTCACTGCTGTTGTCCTTACTGCTGCTGTGATTGTTACCGCTGTTGCTTCTTCTACCCCTGTTGCCCCCGTTACTCCTGCTGCTCCCGCCCCTGTTGATTCTGCTGTTGCCTCCGTTGATGTTGTCCTCGTGTTGATGCTGCTGGTACAGTACACACACACAGCTGGTAGCGTGAAGCAGTAAATGGACCCATTTGTTAGTAATTATCAGTAATTACGAGTCCATTTATTTGTTAATGCATAGAATAAATGGGTGTGTTAATTTGATTATGCCAGGAACTATTGTGAAATGAAAATCATTTATATGACCTTATGAGATAATGAAGTGTAAACTGCCTACTGTGTGTGTGTTCGTGAAAACTTCTCTTGAAGGCTCACACTTATGTATGGAAGTTATACAAAATCGTTTATAAAAGTCTATCTTAGTTCACTTCACTGAGATGGGTGGGCGGATACAAGTCGATATATGTATATATATATATATATATATATATATATATATATATATATATATATATATATATATATATATATATATATATATATATATATATATATATATATATAGTACACTTGTATCTACAGAGGAGGATTGCCACTTGATCTAATACTGAGGCGAGAGCAGTGTTAGAGATTCTAGTTCTGAGGTAGACTCGGATCTTCTAGGACTGAAGTGGTCTCTCAACTGCTCAGTGATAGTTCAGTAATGTTTGGAGTCCAGCCACAGACTGCCTAGCTCTCCAGGGCGAGACCACCTTGGGGCTAAATAACAATGACGTCATGAAGTATGATGCATGGGTTCAAGCTTCTAGAAGCTTCTCTCAGAAGGAAGGGTTGCTATGTGTCGACGCCTTGGTATGAACACCTGAGATCAGTGTCAGCAGCGTTACTGAAATAGCTGTCAGGAAAATGATCTCGTTGAGCCATGAATCATCCTCAATTGACGTTGCAAATATCTAACAAAGGTAATTAATAATTTACACTAAATAATTGGGAGTTACAATTATTAAGTGATGCATCTAGTCATCAAGTAAGAGTCATTAGTGATATAAGTAATGAGCTTTAAATGTGATATCATCATATTGAGACATCTCTGGTCGACTCACTGCTGCCAGACCATCGTACGTCACTAGGCCAGCTGCGTTTGACCAAGCTACATGCTTGCTATGAAAACATCTTTGACCCCTGCTGGTCACGTGTGTGTGTGTGTGTGTGTGTTGTGCGCGCGCGCGCGCGCGTGTGTGTGCGCGTGTGCATGCGCGCGTGTGCGTGCGTGTCTGTGTGTGTGTCACGCTATACAATAATAGACAACAAACATTAAGATGGTTTGATTGGCTCTGTAATATTTGGAAAGTCAATATAACAATTAATATTTACAAGGAAAATAATTATTTACTGAAATACAGCAATAAAAATACAGTATTTAAATACTTTTGAGAAAGAATTAAGAGAGAATTAAACTGTTGCCCTAAAGTAATCCTGACTGAATGGCTCACAATAAGTAGCTGTGATGCCACCATAAACAATATGTAAATGATTAACATAAACACCACTAATTAGTTACACTGCACCCAGCCCTCGGCCGGGTCACTGCTGTGTCACGTGTTTCTCACTAAATGTTAACTACTTACTGTAAATGATCAAACACAATTTGACCAATTTTTTTCTTCGTAAAAAGTAGTGTAACATCACACTAACGTCTTATTCTCGTTTACTGACACATACTCAAAAAAAAAAAATAATAATATATATATATATATATATATATATATATATATATATATATATATATATATATATATATTATATATATATATATATATATATATATATATATATATATATATATATATATACTGTATAGTTAGTAAATTAATATTGTTTTCTTCAGGTAATCAACAGTCCTGTATTTTGTGCTACTGACCAGACCCACCTAATAACCTCTCCCATAGATGATTAATTAAAAAAAATTGCATTTTAGATTTTCAGTAAATTATTTAGAAATAATTGTAGTGTTATAAACCACTAATTACCATTGATAATTAGCTTTAACTTAGCTTCCTAGAGAGTTTTAGCCTGATACAGTATTATCTCTCTTCAAAGATATAATTAAATTTCCCCCTTGATTAGATATATAAGTAGCAATTAGAAGTTCTTGACAGTTTTTGGATACCATAGCTGTAATTGACCTTGTTAGTGTACCGTAGATGAGTGTGTCGTGTTGTAGATGGTAACACAAGTTTCCCTCCTCAGGCGAGCCAGCATAAGGGCGGGACAAGGGTATGACACTAGGTTTGTTCAACTCCATTATTTTTATACTGGTGTGCCGGGCGACCATCTGCCTCCCTCCTGCACCACCACCACCTACAGTAGATAATGGCATCAATAATTAAATGAATAAAATAATCCATATTAATAATTAAACGTGATCTTGCTTTAAAATACAAGAAATCCTTTGAGAAAATTTAGAACTATACATATTTAATATAGACCAAAAAGTTCTAATTAAATTAACTTAAAATAACAGCTTTTCTCTTCATTCATTATACTTTTGTGTTAAAGTATTGCAATCACTTAATAAAGTCTTGAATAATAAATAATACTTATAAAGAAATTCATAAATTGTATAAATATCTGGTAAAGATTTGTTTTTTTAATTTTTATATTTTTCGCGCTCTCGTTAGTACTGGTGGTGGGGAGGTGTGGCGGGTGGCGCCTCTGTTGTGTGAAGGCTGTAGTTCAGTGTGTCTACCCTCTACTGCCACTACATCTTCACTATATACGTGTACACTGTCCGTCCTATGCCTCCCTTCACTCACTCACTCGCTCGCTCTTCAGTGACGTGTGGTAGTGTATCCTGTGTGTAAATAACCTGCTTTTGTTTTACTCTTCCCGGCGCCTCTTAGGAATCTTTTAGTCTTGAAGGAGGTTTTAGTAATGTGACGTAGTTTTTCCTCTTAGTCAGTATGAAGACCTTCCTGTTGTAAGTGTTGCCGCCTCTACAGTAGTTATACATATTAGGCAAAGTTTATATGTGTGTTTTGCTTTATTATTGTACAGCTACAGCACCATATATGACAGCACAAAGCATTAAAACTTTTATTGTGAGTTATGGTGATGGAAAGACTATAGTTGTACAAATATAAGATCACACACACACACACACACCATACCATAACTCTCGTGTCGTCGGCAGGTAAGTAACATTATTTTGCACTGTGTGTGTTTGAAGACATTTTACCTGTTGTAAGTGAATAACTTAACCCTAATGAATAGTGAGGACCTCCTTCACTCCTGCTGGCGGTGAAGGGATGCCAGCCAGTTTCCTCACCAAATCACACATGGTGGATAGTTATGGCGGATGGAGGAAGACCGAGACTGGAAGCTGTTGTGGGAGAGGTGACGGTGACGCCATTTTACAACCGGAGTTTACCGGGGTATTAATGAGGTGGTGTTGAGGGGTGGTGAGGTGGTGTTGAGGGGTGGTGAGGCGGTGTTGAGGGGTGTTGAGGCGGTGGTGAGGGGTAGTGAGGCGGTGGTGTGGAGCGGTGTTGAGGGACAGTGAGGTGGTGTTGAGGGGCGGTGAGGCTGTGTTGAGGGACGATGAGGAGCGGTGAGGCGGTGTTGAGGGGCAGTGAGGCGGTGTTGAGGAGCGGTGAGGCGGTGTTGAGGGGCAGCGAGGTGGTGTTAGCGTGTAAACAGCCCCCATCTACGTCCATTGTGGGTAAAGTAATCGTTTCCAGGGTTAAGGATTTATCATGGCGGCGACGGGAGAAACTAAGTGCGTCTCTGCATCCTTCTCTCCTTCAAGACCTCCTACCCTCCTTCACCACATCCTTCCCTCCTTCACCACATCCTTCCCTCACTTAGTTACTGCGGTCTTGGGTGCCTAAAAGCGCCATCGCCATAACCACCCCCTCTCGTTATACCTCTTGGCCCTCCCTCCTACCATAACAAACAGTGCCATCTCCTCAGTGCCATCCTGTCTGGGAGTCTCGCCAACCACTTCCCTCTTTTGTTTCTCGCTCTGGCACTCACAAGCTCTGGCGGGTCTTCCATCTCCTCCCTCACACCATTGTTGCTGCTGCTCCTCCTAACTTTACTCACCTTCCTCTTATTTACTCCTCTCCCATTATTTTACTTACGTATGGTTTCTCTTGTTCTAACATGCCACTAATTTCTCTTTCTCTTTATCTCTCTCTTTGTGTTCTCTTCGTATTACTCTCTCTCTCTCTCCCCCGTTCATCTCGCCCCATTTACCTCCTGTAGTTTCCCTTTGTTTACCTCCATAGTCCCTCTCACTACCTCCATAGTCCCTCTCACTGATTCTTAGCACCTCCCTCACGGACACTTGACTTCACCTGCGGATACTTGACCTCACACATAGATACTTGACCCCCACTCGCGGATACTTGACCCCACTCGCGGATACTTGACCTCATCTGCGGATACTTTACCCCACCTGCGAAACTTGACCCCACTCGCAGATACTTGACCCCACCCGCGGATACCTGACCTCACCTGTGGATACTTGACCTCACCCGCGGAAACATGACCTCACCTGCGGATACTTGACGTCACCCATAGATACCTGACCTCACCTGCGGATACTTGACCTCACCTGCGGAAACTTGACCCCACCCGCAGATACTCTACCCCACTCGGGGATACTCGACTCCACCCGCCGATACTCGACCCCACCCGCGGATACTTGACCCCACCTTCTGATACTTGACCCCATCAACGGATACTTGACCCCACCTGCAGATACTTGACCTCACCCACAAATACTTGACCCCACCCGCGGATACTTGACCCCACCCGCGGATACTTGACCCCATCAACTGATACTTGACCTTACACACAGATACTTGACCTCACCTATTGTATTTATTTTTCTCTCGGTTAAAACACAGTGGTAAAAAAAGTGAGAGATAATGTGACAGACAGACAGACAGACAGCCAGATCATCATCACCAACACCAGTTTTAGTATCAGTAGGAATGCCTGTAGTGGTGCTGGTCCCGGAAAGGTACATCTTCCTTAACCTACTTGGGCTGGGGGCGAACCTTCAGGTGTTATGAAAATACAGTAAATAAATAAATAAATAAAAATAAATAAATAAATATACTCGCCAACGTTTGTATTTAATGAATTTGTGTTGACGTGACGTGTTGACGGTTAAAATAACAATACGGAGTGTAATATTATTATGGTAAGGGTGATAATAGTATCTCGTCACCCAGCCAGTGGTATTAGACAAACACATAGCGCTGCTGTTGTTCTCGCAGTTATATAACCGAAAGAACAAAAATTGTTCACATTTATTGTCAATTACGGTGAGGTGTGGTGGTGAGGGGGGCGGCGGGTTTCGGGCGGCCAGATAAGGCACGCTGCCACTCACCCAGCAGATGGTGACGCGCTACCAAGATAGTGCTCCGCCCGCCCACGACGTGTCTCGCCTGGAGGTGGTGATGAAACCAGGTGAGGATGAGGGAAGGGGGAGAGAGGGAGGTAGAGATAGGGACAACAAAGCAGAGGAGGGGGAAGGAAGATGGGTGAATGACACGGAGTTGGGTAAGTGTTTGTTTGTGGCGCTGGCTGTGTGCTGAAGTACAGATTACATTATGCTGTATCGCTCATAAACACACACCTACTGAGCACGGGTTATGTGTCGAGGTTAGCATTTTTTTTTTTAATATAACTGAATATTGGTACAGGAGTATAGGACTGTCACACGGACCGCTGATGACAGGTGTGAGAAGTTAAAGGAGACAAGCAGCTGTGTGGGGGACTCAGGCTGCAACACGGGGGCGCTTACTCACCTGTCACATAACTCAGCGTGGTAAACATTAAAAGTAGGAGACAGAGAGAGAGAGAGAGAGACGTTCACTCACCTTAAACTTAAAATTACTCGCTTACTCACCCTTGATAATATGAGAATAACTTATTTCCATATAACTTGAAATTAACACTGTCATAATATCCTGTGTCCCATATTACTGACGTCTCGAGCCCGCCGGGTACGAGGAGAGCAACTTGATATTACAGCAAAGGTGAAACCGGGTCGCCAAAGCAGTAGTTAAATTCTCGCTAACGGGGTAAAGTGTCCTCGGCCCTGTTGACATGTTGGAGGCGACGAGTGAAATGTAGAGAAGTGATGAGTAACATGTCGGGGTCTAGACGAGGCTGGCATTATAGAGAGGTTGAGGTGGTGATCAAACACAGACGCCTGATTACTAGTTACATGTCATCACCCTCACTTCACCACGGCCAGGTATGAAGTTTGGCCTCTTGAACACCGAGTTTATCTCTTGCTACCTCGCCTATATCACAAGATGGTATTAGTCATCGTCACTGAAGTCTTCCCTGTTAATACGTCTTCCGTAAAGGTGTGGGGAGGACCCGGTGTGAGGCTGGTGCATAACTTGGATGTAAATAAAACGATATCTTGACATTTCCTGTGTTTGGGTGTGTCTTGGAGGTGACTTATTAAACTACAGTAGACGGCCACACGCGTAACGAATTGGAGATACAGCTCATCAAACACAGTGAGGTACAACAAACAGTGAGGTAAAAATTATTGGCAGTTTGCGAGAGGTCGAAGCTGGTGGCAGGCGATACCCCTCGAGGATATACTGTACCCTCCCCCCGCCCTCACCTGTCTCCTGGTAGCTCCCGACGGTTTTAAGTGGGAGGGAGGCAGGATGAGGGAGAGGAAAGGAGGGATTTTGAGAGAGAGAGAGAGAGAGAGAGAGAGGGAGAGAGAGAGGGAGAGGGAGGGAGAGAGAGAGAGAGAGAGAGAGAGAGAGAGAGAGAGAGAGAGAGAGAGAGAGAGAGAGAGAGAGAGAGAGAGAGAGAGAGAGAGAGAGAGAGAGAGAGAGAGAGAGCGAGAGAAAGAGAGAGCGACGGCGACGGCGTATCTGGAGAGGGTTTGTAAAGTCGTCGACACTCATCCACCAGTAATAGAATCGCGATATTAACCCGAAATTGCTTCTTGCAGCTCTTCCAACTCAAGCTGTACGTGTCTAATATTACCCTCGGCTGAATTTAAAGGGGACAACACCTCTCCTAAACTCGTGGTTATGAGTTTGTAAATATATGCGTAGTTTATGATGATGTATATAATTTGTATATTAAAAAATATATATGTATGGATGTAACTATGTATGTAAGTAATTTTCATTAATATTTTTCAGTGTAGTAGTGAGTTGTTGATTCGGTTGATATATTTGTAGTTGTTGATTTTATGGTTCCACCGCCTGGCACATGACGCCGTCGTCTTGACCTCA